CACTGTGATGGCTCATAATGTGAATTTAAAAGAAATGATATATAAATATGATGTATATATATAATTATTTTGAATCGATCTGAATCAAACTGGCTGTGAAGGACACGCCCTTTTACCTGAGGGCATCTTGCCTAATATGGGTATTATAGCATTATTAATATGTACTTCAGAAATGGCTATACCTAAATGATTCTGCATACCCACCAACATAAAGAAGATATAGTCATTTTTGTTCCTCCCATCCACTGAAAAAATGTTTTTAATCTGTAACAAGAAAGACAAGGCGTGAGCTTAAATGCAAAAATGGCACTCGAGGACAGGGGCTCCATCACCCAGCAGGGTATGTTCTGTCTGGAGTTTGTCTGGGCAGACAGCACTTATGAGTTCTTTTTCATTACTGTGCCTGTTCTGTCTGTGGAAGGAGAAAAAAAAGAGAACTCGGTGTACCGAGTCGTGACTGCTCAAATCTGCCTTAAAGAACTCCGGAAACAAGTCTCGAGATGGAAAAGGGAGGCTGCAACATCCGCGTGATCATCGCCCGAGCGCCAATGGCTCTTCACCGAGAGCGCTCAGGACACCGGCATCCCCTGCCGCGCGTGAGGAAATGGGCGGGTCCGGGGAAAGCTCAGTCACACCGCGTGGGCGGATGGAGCGGCTAGTGGGAAAGGAGGGGGGAGCCGCCGCTCTGGTATTTAACGGAGAGCCGAGGAGAGCTCAGACAGCACGGAAAGCGAGCGGAGCAAGCGAGCGGAGCGATTTCAGCACCAGCACCGAGGACAGCGACACAAGTAGCACCACAGCTAAGTTTCCCATCATGGTTCTCATCTGGACCCAGTTCGGTGTGAAGCACAAAAATGGCAATGTCAAGTGCAAAGTGCGAGTTATGCACAGGGGGGACAGCTCCGGCTCCTCGTCCTCAGCGGTAAGTTTCGCATTTTTCGCGGGGAAGTTTCTGGGGCTGTTTGTCTTTAGCATGTGTGAAGTGTGTAAAGCTGCACGGTGCTGACAGTTCGTATGAATGACACCGTATAATTAAACAGTGTGTATGGAACTGGCACATTACTGTTGTACCGGATTCATTCATATGTAAGAATTGCCGGCTCGCTTTCAGCCAATCGCTGCAGAGTATCTCAGTCGCTGAGGTGGGGTGGGGAAGAGTCTTTTGCCTCTTATATGACTTTCCCCCATCACGTTGTGCTGTGCATGAGCCTATGAAATTCATGGATATGTGACCGCACATGCAGCAGCACGGAGATAAGGGTGTTTTCCCATTGAGACTCTGTTAGAGGTGGGGGGGGGGGATTTTCTGCATATCAATAGATATTCTGCAGCAGTTTTTTGGAAGATATCTTGAGCATCAGCTACTCTGTTTAACATTCTAGGTAATAGAGGTTTGAATTTGCATGCTTATTCGCCACTGCTTGGCAACACTTGGGATACAAGGTTGGCGCAAGCTGATGTTTAAAAGGTGAAGAAAGGTTCTTAATGTGACATTTTTGTGTGTTTTTGCAGGAAAGCACCAGGTCAGAGCAGGACGTGCCCTGTCTGCCCATCAAACCCGCAGGCAAAGACTTCTACAAAGTCCTGGGCGTCTCCCCTGAATCCAATGAAGATGAGATCAAGAAAGCCTACAGGAAAATGGCCCTCAAGTTCCACCCAGACAAGAACAGCGATGCTGACGCGGAGGACAGGTTCAAAGAGATCGCAGAGGCCTATGAGATCCTGACTGACCCCAAAAAGAGAAGCATATACGACCAGTTTGGAGAGGAAGGTGAGGAAGGGCAAGGATCTGAAATTGTGATTGCTAGCATTTTATATAGCTTCACTAGTAACTGCCATCTGAGTGGGCGATTAGATTAACTATTCATGTCATCATCAAATGCTAAATATTGATGTGTGATGACTCCCACTCCTATAAAACAAGCTCAACATGTGAAATGCGACAGCTGTGAGGCTGATTAGCTATTGAGGGAGAAACAGAAGAGTTTTCTTGGTCTCTACATCATTTTAGAGAAGGTGGCATGAAGAGAACTTAGGGAACATCAAATTAGGAGACGTTCTGCAGCAGTTTGAATTGAACCTGTTTTCTTTCCCCTTTTCAGGCCTTAAAAACGGAGGCAACATTTTCCGCAGCAATTTCCACGGCGACCCCCACTCCACCTTCTCCTCCTTCTTCAATGGCTCTGACCACTTCGACATCTTCTTTGGCAACGAAGAGGGCGACGACGACCTCTTCAACCCCTTCAGACGGTTCACCTTCAGCCACGTGAGCGGGTCTGCAGGCCCCGAGGGTGGCCTGCGGAAAGGCCCGAGGCGCTTGCAGGCCGATGTGGTGGTGCACGACCTGCTGGTGACCCTGGAGGAGGTGATGCAGGGCTGCACCAAGCATGTGAAGATTACCCGCAGCCGCCTCAACCCAGACGGCCGCACCTTGCGAACAGAAGAGAAGGTGCTCAATGTGGTGGTAAAGAAAGGCTGGAAATCGGGAACCAAGATCACCTTCCCCAGGGAGGGGGACGAGACCCCCAACAGCGCCCCCGCAGACATCACCTTCATTCTCAGGGACCAGGAGCATCCTCAGTACAAGAGAGAGGGCTCCAACCTCGTCTACACGGCCAAGATCACCCTTAAAGAGGTGAGTTTGGTGCATCGCCATCAGAAACATTATGAAACATATGAGTGGCCTATACTCAGATACAACCACTTACACCTACTCAGATAAAGGCTAAGATCTATGCACCACTTCTTGTAGTTTATATAACCATTGAGTAACGTTCTTTCTTAAATGCCAGAGAAAATCGATTCCTGAAAAAAACAGCAGTAATACATAAGATTGAAGGTCCAATCTCTGCCAAATGCAGGGAGGGAGGACAATATCTTTGATTGCAGTCTGAGGACAGAACAGAGTGTTCTGTTATGGGCATCTGAACCCCTCAGCTTACAACGGGCTGACAGACCCCCACAAACACAGAAACAGCAGTAAGCCTGCCAACGCCTCCGTTTACCTCATCAGCCCCTGCAGAGCGAGCGAGCAAGCAGGAGCTAAATTTAGCTCCCAATACTGACTGCCCCCACGAATTGCACTTCACCCTCCCTCACAACTACTATGCTGGCTGCAGACTTCTCTGCTTGTATAAGGCAGGCGCCTTTTTTTTTTTTTTTTGGCTCACTCTGTCTCTGGCTCTCGCTTCCACCAGCCCACACACAGATTAGCAGGGTAGCAGTCACAGAGAATGACATTTCAAAGAGCTCCTCCATCTTCCTATGGCTCACTTCAGTCACTAAAACACTTAACGCCCACACTGAGCCAGTAAACGGAGCAGCGATTATAACATCTGTAACACCGGTCTGTTGCATAACGCAGAAAATAACACAGAGAATTGTTTCAGAAGGACAGACACCCCACATTTATCTCTTATGCAACTTGACATTTTTAGAGAAACTGGATTCCACTCATAATTAGGCCACTCAAAAAAGAATTATGAAACAGGTTAACAGCTTCATGGGTCTGCAGGGCTAACTCTCTCTTTCTTCTCTTGTCTTCAGGCTCTCTGCGGCTGCACAGTAAACGTTCCAACGCTTGACAACCGGATGATGCCTCTACCTTGCAGCGATGTCATCAAACCCGGTGCCGTCCGCCGGCTGAGGGGCGAAGGCCTTCCCCTGCCCAAAAGCCCATCCCAGCGAGGCGACTTGGTGGTTGAGTTCCAGGTGGCCTTCCCAGACAGAATCCCACCACAGTCCCGAGAGATCATCAAGCACAGCCTGGCGCAGTGCTAGCCGGGTGACTCTTACCAGTTCTTACCAGTTCACAAACACAGCCTTGCCCAAGGTGCTATCACAACCAAATCACAACCTCTTATTGTGTTTGGAAGCGGCAAGCGGCGCATAAGCAAGTTGTAGATCACGTGCAACTTTTTGCGAGGAGATGACTTTCTGCGGGCGCTCGGCACGATGCACACCAACTTAGCAGTGCTGTGCGAGCAGTGAGTTGACAGCTGATTAATGGGGGTCTTTGGTATCTGAGGGCATCCATTGACTCAATAGCCTTTCTCTTGAATGAGTTATCTGTACTGTTATACTTGCAAACCTTTCGCAAGATATCAGTGTGCTATTCAAGTCTGTATAGACTTCCTTAAACCTCAATGGTAGAAACATGTAAGGGAAATAACACAACTTTAGTATTATTATTATTATTACTTCTACTACTGTCATCATTATAGTTATATGGTGTTCATATGACTGATCTTTTGCATTGATTTATTACAATAGCAAACATACTTGTCTACAAAGATCTACTTTGTGTACAAAATGCTGAAACACTGTCTCTAAAAGAGATTCATCTGTCAAATGTTCTATTGAATGATTTGAAATGTCTGTATATAATCTGCGATGAGCCACCTGCTGATGTATTATTATTATTGTTATTATTATTACTTGATATAGAGATGTTTGAAAGCATGGAAAATAAAGAAAAAGAACAATTTGACTTCTGTTTCTGCCTCACTATTGGATAAAAGTTTATTATTTTCAAATCCTAAACTTACATAAGTGAACTCTCAGACATTTGCAGTCCACTAAATCACACTTGAGACCAGATTTGAAGTTGCTCAGCGATATAGCATCAGTCATCTTCTGCCATCTAGCGGCCAGTCCTAACATCATCCTGCACACAATAAGGCACACCTGTTGGTCTGTAATTTATGTGGCGGCCAACTGAGCGCTGCACAGTCCTGTCAAATAAAGCCAGTGCTCTGATAGCAGTGAGAGCGCATGCCTACAGTGATGGAGACGAGAATGATTAAGGACAACACTCATATTTGGAGGCTGCATACATTTGAGATGCAGGATGGCATCAGATAGAAAATACTGGCAAACAAAAAAAAGACAGTCCACATTGATTTAAGAGATCGAGCCACCTGTGTAAAGAGAGACGACCTGTAATCTGAGCTGAGATCTGAGGTTTTCCCAAATTCAGCCTCCATGTGTTTAGGAATGAAATGTCGCAAGTAAGTGAAACCACAGCATCCAGTCTGACTGAAGGGAACCCTGTGACGAGTTTGACCTTAGTCGTTCTCCTGCTCGTTCCCTGCGTGGTCGTTCTGCTTCTGCTGAACTGCCTCTTGCTGGGTTACAAGTTACTGATCCTGTCAAAGAAGAAAATCAGTCTGCGGCCAGAACGCACGGAGGAGATGCTTTTGCGGTCTCCTCAGAGAGTCAGACTGTCCAATGTGGCGTTTCCTTTGCGCCAAGACGGGCGGAGAGCGTATTTATCGCTATCAGAGCCCGTGCCCCCTCATCCCGTTACTTCTTCCAGAGCTTCTTCCAGGGAAAGGATCGGTCTGGATCACAGGATCCGGCTTCTGAGGCCAGATGGCGCTACAGGTTCAGGGTCTCAGAGAGCGCCGAGCACCATCCGGGCAACCTCTCCAGAAGCTTGTTTTACCCCCAGACTAAACCTGGCCTCCAGCTCACGGACCTACAGCCTCAGCAAAACAGGCTGGCGCAGGAGTGCACAAGTTTTACCGCACGATTCAGGGACTGAAACCAGAGTGAACCTTGTTCCTCCAAACACTCCTATGGTGAGTAATTGTTTGTTTTTTTTCCCCAAATTTTTTTTGACAAAGTATTAAACGTTGAGTCGCAAATACTTCAAACTGCGCAACTTGCTTAATTAACCCAATTTAGGGCCCCGTTAACCCCTTTGTTACCACTCATTGTGTGCACAGGTGTCCTGTGTGTGGTAGCTGAATTAAGTACAAATGCAAAGAGAAGTTCAAGGCCTCACTAGAAGCAGCAAAACCCTCCCATTAGTAACTGCTTTTGTGTTGCATGCTCTGATGTTACCAAATAAACTATCTGTAAAATAAAAAATATACCAAAGAAAGTTGTTACACAAGGAATCTCTGAAGGTTGTCTGGAGTCCAAAGCCCTGGGCAGCACTGGTTTGGTGGTAATCCATCTGCTATATAGTTTGCCTGCACGTTTAAGATCTTTTGGGGTTATTTTAGATGTTGCAAAATATATTTGCAAGTATTTCAGCACATAGAAGAAATAAGTCTAGTTTTATCTTGAATGAAGTGTGATGTGATGCAGTTTATCACTGGAAGATGTTAATCCTTGAAAGAGGTTTGTGTGTGTGTAGTAGATCGTGTTCTTATGAGCAGCTTTTTGTATCCCTTTGTTCTCTGCAGGAGACCGAATTTGTGGGTCTGATTCGGAGGAGCAGTACTTATGAGATGCTGCCAGGTGTGGATCCAGGTGTTGCAGGGTGCAGGGTTGACAAGATAGACATGGAGTGCGAGTACACCAACCTGCATTCAGAGGCGTCCTGTCTGAACGCGTCTGCAGCGGGTCCTGGACTGGATAGTGATTTTGGAGCAAGTGCAGGTACTTCCCCTCACAGTGATCACCACTACAACATCTTCACTGTATACAAATGTCTTCAAAAACTGATGTTGATCCATACATGAAATGGGGCTTGCATTTATTTTGAAAACACATTTTATTCCTGACTGAAAGTACTCTTAAATTAAATCCACCAGTTTCTAGACAAATAAGAAAATGTTGGCACATTAAATTTTGATTGTAGCCCAGAAATGATCTGGAAACCGACCCATGATTTTTATGCGTACAATCACTGGCAAATATGTCAGGTACATCTGATCAGCTGCTCAGGAATACAAAGACTAGCCAATTACATAGCAGCAACTCTTGGCAGACATGGCCAAGACAGCCTGCTGAAGTTCAAACTGAGCATTTGATTGGGGAAGAAAGGTGATTTAATTGGCTTTGAACATTGTGTGGTTGTTAGTGCCAGGATGTTTTAGAAGTTGTTGATCTTCTGTTATTTTTCTATTTTTTATTTTTTCCCCACACAAACATCTTGAGCATTTACAGAGGATGATCTGAAAAAGAGAAAACATCCAGTCAGGGGCAGCTCTCTGAGTGAAACTGGTTTATTAATGCTGGAGGTCAGAGGAGAATGGGTAGAGTGCAGTAAGTCCAATAACTGCTTGATACAAATAAGAAATGCAGAAGAGCATCTCTAATGCATAACATATCAAGCCTTTAAGCAGATGGCCTACAGCAGCAGAAGACCACACTGGGTGCCACTCTTTAGGAGTGGCAACTAAGGAAAACTGAGGCCACAGTTCTCAGAGATTCTCCAAAATCGGACAAAGGAAGAGCGGAAAAATGTTGCCTGGTCGATTTCTGCTGTGACATTCAGATGGTAGCGTAAGAATGTGCTGCATAAACCATGATTTGTATTAGCATTGCAGGCTGGTGGAAAAATGGTGTGAGGGATACTGGCAAACTTTTAAATGCCACAGACTGTCTGAGTGTTGTTGCTGACTGTGTCCATCCCTTTATGAACAAAGTGTGCCCATCTTCTACTGACTATTTCCAGCAGGATAACGTACCATATCACAAAGCTCAAATCATCTGAAACTGGTTTTGTGAGCATGGCGATGAGTTCACTGTAATCACCTGAAATCTACATGCACTAAATCCAAATCAGTAGCACCTTAGGCATGAAATCTGCAGCAACCGTATGACACTATTATGCCAATAATGATCAAAATCTCTGAGGAATCTTTCCAGCACTCTGTTGAATCTATGCCGTGAGGAATTAAGGCAGTCCTATCCAGAACTAGTTAGATATACCTAATGAAGTGTCTAAGTGTGAATAATTGCTTTAATAATTGCAGAAATCTGTAAACTAGTGATCACGGTCAGTAATATCTACACTAAATTCTTGGAAAGATTAGAAAGTTTTCTTCTTGTTGATCTTTTACTATGAAGAATGTCTGCATAGAATTTGACCGCAGACGAAGAAAAGATATGGGAGTGTAATTCATGCACATAAAAATCCAAAGTTTGTGTGATATGAATCCTCCAGTTTGCAATCACTGAAAACAGACTGTGCAGCAAAGTACAACCTTTGATCCAATAAACATCTAAAGTGGAAATGCAATTCCTTTCAGGGGTCTCCCTGCGGATTCTGTCTGCAGACAGTGACGGCCTGTCCAACGGAGTGCTGGCTTCAGCTCTGGAGTGGGATTATTATGACCCCTGCTATGTCAAACAGAATAATATACCCAAACATAAACATCACAGACCTGCAATCCACATGAAACAGTACTGGGTGTAAATTTGTACTTTTAATGTTTATTAATGTGTATCATGTATTTATTCCATTAAGTGGTTTTTTTTTTGTTTTTTTTAGAATTTCTTTGTCTCATTAACACTATTACTTTATACAAACTGACATAGTTTTTGTTGTTGTAAAACTCACCCTTCCACAGAACCTGTTCAGACTATGTTCTTCTTCACTTTGACTTCAGTTACTATCAAATGTTATCAGTGCACTGATAACACGCTTCACTGATGTTAGTTAATTCATCTCACAGTTTCATATGTACTGGCCCAGTGGGCTGGGTCTAAGTATCACAAACATTTTCATAACAATCAGTTTCACAGTTGATTTGAAATTCTTTGATTCACTCTAATCTGTAGACTATGTAAAATATAAAGTACCTATTGATGAAATTGTTAATCTTTATAATAAAAAAACCTTCATGTTTACATACTTTTTGTTTCGGCATGTTCCAGTTGCCTCTCCTGACCAGCAGAGGGCGCGCCTGGTGATATGGTTTGTGATGGGATTGTGCTTATTTTTTAAAATGTCTAAATAAAAAGGCAGCCGAGTCTTTGCAGTAGATTAATAACACAGAATAAAAGGACACTGGCTTTAACGGTGTTCATAAACAGTGCTGCAATGTGGTTCAAGTATACTTGCAGTTTTCAGAATACAGGCTGTATGTATTAATGCATCTTGCTCAGTCACAGAAAATTTAAACAGTTCCTTTCTGTTTAAGGTCTTCAAGTCTTGATCTTAAAAGAAGCTTCAACTACAGCACATGCGATGAACCTTTAGAAAACTTTACAAGCTCACTCATGAGCTCCTAGATGTTTATCCTCTAATACAACTGATCTAGGCTGGGATATGGTTACAACGACAAGACGATCATCCTCATCAACCATTTACTTCCAGTTTCTAGGAAGTTTGTCTTAAACAGTGTTTGGAAACTTTAAAGAACTGAGCTCAAATAATGAGCCTGGCCTGATAAAAAGCTGAATTATGCATTTCTTGGCACTGAAACAAAGTTTGAGTGTATGATCATGTGAATACAAATGAGAACTATTTGCATTGCTGGTCTTTTGAAATTTGAGGGATATACAACTGCAGCAGTTCTTTTTCTGTTACAGTTTTAAATAAATGCTTTAGCTCAATGCTTACATGTAAATGATTAAAGAATAGGCAACTGGGAAAATACAAAAGCTCCACATAACAGCAGTACTGTAAAAACAAAAAAGGAAACTGAGTCAGAGTTAGGTGGAATACTTTATTCTCTGTTCAGAGAAATCTGTACATTTAAAGATCAAGTGCCCTTTGAGTTTTTTAAGTTCATAGAAAGTATAACTGACACTGAACTATGCAAACATGAAAACAACCAGACCAAAAAGCACCACTTTACTCAAAGCTGGAGAGGAAATTCAACACAATTTGTTTGAGCTTGGCATCGGATGCCTCAGAGATTTTGCCATCAGCCCTGCAATGAAGAACAGATTGAGATGTATTGTAACCAATGCATTAAAAATAAAGAATCTGCTACTGCTTTAGAAATGTTAAACTCACTTAATATTTGCCAGCAGGTCCTGGTGCTGGCTCAGTATGTGCTGCAGGAACGCCTTCTCAAACTTGGTGATCTTGCTTGGCTCCATTTTGTCCAAGTGTCCCCTCACACCAGCATAAATGACTGCTACCTGTTCTTCGATAGCCATTGGAGCTGAAAGATGGAAGTTCATGGGCACAGTAAGTAAGACAACTTTTTTTTTTAATGGATGCATCATTTTCTATACAAACAGCAATACTCACAGTACTGTCCCTGCTTAAGCAGCTCAGTCAGACGGACGCCACGGTTCAGCAGCTGCTGAGTGGCAGCATCCAGATCAGAACCAAACTGAGCAAAGGCAGCCACCTCACGGTACTGGGCCAGCTCCAGCTTCATGGTACCAGCCACCTGATGATGGACAGGAAAAATGAAGTTAATGTGAAAGACTCCCAGCACAAAAACCAGTTGAGAGACTAGAACTAGGCAAGACTGAAAGACCAACCTGTTTCATGGCCCTGGTCTGGGCAGCAGATCCGACACGTGACACGGAAAGACCGACATTGATAGCTGGACGAATACCCTTGTAAAACAGCTCAGTCTCCAAGAAGATCTGCGGGATAAAACATATTTAATGGTGGCTGAGGATCCAAATTAAAATGAGGGAAGGCAACTTACTCGCACACTGACCTGCCCATCTGTGATGGAGATGACATTAGTTGGAATGTAGGCTGACACATCCCCAGCCTGTGTCTCAATAACAGGAAGGGCTGTGAGGGAGCCACCGCCGAAGTTGTCGTTCATCTTGGCCGCTCTCTCCAGCAGACGGGAATGCAGGTAGAAAACGTCTCCTGGGTAAGCCTCACGCCCGGGGGGACGACGGAGCAGCAGGGACATCTGACGGTAAGCGACAGCCTGCAGGAAAGCAAGAACCAGACACAGATTTTAAACACAGTTTTTTACGCTTGTGTTAAAAAAGCGCTCTGTAGCATGAGACCAAATAAACTCACCTGCTTGGAGAGATCGTCATAGATGATCAGGGCGTGCTTTCCATTGTCTCTGAAGTACTCTCCCATGGAGCAGCCAGAGTAGGGAGCCAAGTACTGCAGTGGAGCAGCATCAGAAGCTGTAGCTGACACCACTATGGTGTACTTCATGGCATCGGCATCAGTGAGCCTCTTCACCAGCTGAGCCACTGTGGACCTCTTCTGGCCAATAGCAACGTAAATGCAATAGAGCTTCTTCTTCTCATCAGTCCCATCGTTGAAGCGCTTCTGGTTGATGATTGTGTCAATGGCAATGGCAGTTTTTCTACAAGGCAAATGTGGATACACAAACCACCAGTTCACATTTTTGTGCTTAGAACAGTTTTAGAAGGTCTAACGGTCTAAAAAAAAAAAAGTATTATATTATAAAGAGTGTATTTCTTCACTTTCTAATCCATTATTCATAAACACAATAGAAATCCTAGCTTCCAGCATACAAAAATGACACCTTGTTCACAGTGATGTAAGCTCATGTAAATATATGGAATTATTTTGCACATTTGGTTTCCCATCTGACAAAAACAATCAGATGCTTCATGAGACATATCTGCGAAACATGAAACAAAGCTGGTAGAAGTTAGCCTAATATGAACTAATGAGTTTAAAATGTCATTCATGAAGTAACAAAAAAAACTTGTCTGTGAAAAAAATAATGGTTAAGTGCTAAAAAAACACAACAACTTATTATAATAATAGGGTATCTGTGACCCCTTCTTTGGAAGCATCACTTCCACTACTGTAGAAGCACTTAAAAGGCACTGGAAATCACATCAAATACTCTGTCGTATTCAGCTATTCACTTTGAGCCTCTTACCCAGTCTGCCTGTCTCCAATGATGAGCTCACGCTGTCCACGACCTATGGGGACCAAACTGTCCACAGCTTTGATGCCAGTCTGCATGGGCTCCCTCACAGAGATACGGGGGATGATACCAGGAGCTTTCAGTCCCACACGCCTGCGAACCTTGGAGCCCAGGGGGCCCTGTGGAGAAAATGATGTATAAAACCATCAATCAACTCCACAAAGCCAAAGGCTAGCAAAATTGGGTGAACAAAAATCTCTTTACACATATTGAAATTTAGTTGAAAGTTAATGAACCAACTCCTCAGTTTACTAATAGATTATTACACAGCAGTTTCAATCATTTATCAAACATACCTAACACTCTACATTTAACCATGTGATCATAAACTATTATATTTGAAGTTTCAAGTGCTGTTCGGCTAGAATAAGCAATGACGCAATTAATTTAGAATCTGGAAAACAAGACTCTCTCAGTTTTCTGACAGGTACCTTTCCATCGATAGCATTTCCAAGAGCATCCACAACGCGACCCAGGAGCTCCTCGCCTACAGGCACATCAACGATAGCGCCCGTTCTTTTGACGATGTCGCCCTCTTTGATCAGCTTGTCATTACCAAACACCACGACACCAACGTTGTCAGGCTCCAAGTTCAGAGACATACCCTGGGTAGGAGAACAAATAACCATTATTACCTTTGTTTGCATGAATTTACCATGCAAAGTACTTGAACAACCACTGTGTTTAATAATCAATTTTAAAGGACACAGTATGTGGGTAAAGACTAATCAAAACCACATCTTTAACTCAATTTTCTGCCAACAGATCCACTTATTTTCAGAGGTTATTATTTCAAGGAACAACACATTAACCTGGGATTTAAACTTGAGGCAGTATGCTTACCCAGTGGCTTACAGATATTCTTTACTGCTAAACTAAAAATCTATAATTCTCCAAACACCTTTGACTTAAAATGATCTAGAAACTTTTTAAATATTTTTATTCACTCGTGGTATTTAAACAAGGTCATTATGTAAGACTTAGATAGTCACCTTAAGACCAGAGGAGAACTCCACCATCTCCTCAGCCTGTACGTTCCTAAGACCGTACACTCTGGCAATACCATCACCAATAGACAGTACGCGGCCAGTCTCCTCCAAATCAGCACTGGTATCAGCTCCCATGATCTTCTCCTCCAGAATTGATGAGACCTCAGCAGTGCCTGTAATGTATGATAAGTGTTTACATTTCAGGGTTAATAAAGTTCTATGAAACTAATTAAGACATATATATTGTGAGGTCTTTACATAGTGGTTCTTCCTCAAACATTGCTGGGGAGAAATGTTCCAAAAATAATTTCATTTCTTAGACTCTAGGCTGAAGCAGACTTCCTAAAACACTGACCTGTTTTTTTCTGCAGCCATGGGCTAGAGGTGTGTAGATTCTTGGCTCCTACACAAGCCGCAGCAACATTCTTTGATACCTTTATCACATCAAGAAAGAGCGAAAGAAGTAGTTTTATTCAGGCTGGAAATACAGCAGTTTTCAATCATTAATAATTTAAAAACAGTCTAACCAAATATAAACTGGCAGCTTATTAGGCAAACTAAAATTAAAGAGGTCATGATGTCAATCATGGAATAAATCGTCCCAAATGAACATTATAAAAAATAATAATGAAACCCCCGTCTTTCATTATTAATTAGATTGTATGATAATTTTTGAGATTTGTTGTGCTGTTAATTTTGAAATGTCTAATGTTTTGTCTATAAAAAAGTAGATGATAAACTTAATAAAATCCCCAGCTGCTAGGGAACCTTTCTACCAACCGTCAACTCAACATCAATTACTGTGAAAATACAGAAAACACAGCAAAAAAATAAGTGAACAAAGTAAAGATTACAGACTGGACTTGTTTTAGGTGTCACTGCCACTGGATTTAAATCACCTATAGCCCCCTGAGTCACAGAGGTGACAGGCAGAAATTAAAAATAAAATTAAAAAAAGCTACATACAGAATACACATGAACTACTGCACCATGCATTACAGTGTAATTTAATCACAGCAGCTATATTAAAATTTTATAAAAGGTTGGGCTGGTTCTAGGTATTACAAACTGTATATAAAAGGTTTCAGGTCATAGAGTCATAGGACAATCTCAACCAATGACTGGGTACAGATCGAGTCTATAATATCCATACAGAACAGTGAAATGTCTACCATAATCTTGCTTTATGTACTGAAAGAACTGTGCAAAGCTTGCTTGATAAATACATTTTGACTAAAGCTGTCATACAGAAGGGGCCAAACCTGACCTTCAACACCAAGTTACAGCTTTGTCATTTCCACTGACACTCGCCTAGCAGTGCAACACGTGGACCAGCGTTTACTTTTTTCATTTATCGACTCCTCGAGTTGGGTTTTGCTGTCTGTCAACTACAAACATGTTAGCAACAGTGACTGGCACTGTGAAGGGCCCAGTGCCCTCCGATGCAAAGACGTGCGCGCGCACAACAGCCGCCATGGTTTTGTGCGAATAAATTCTCGTTTTTCCTTAATAAAGTGAACAAAAACGTCACATATATAAGTAGAGATGCTTACCAATCCAGCCCTGCGGGGCAGGTTGCGGGCGAGAGCCGCTGCGACGCGAACCGACAGCATGTTGGTGTCCTACGAGGTCTGTCCTGCTCCTGGAGAGGAGAGAGAAGGATGGCGGACACGGCAGCGAACTGTAGAGAGGTCACCGCGACCCGGAAGTACTTCAAAATAAACCACTCTCCAGACTTTTTGTAGTTTTTTTTTTTTAATTTTATTTTGTCGTATTTTTTCGGGTTCCCTTTAAAAAGTGTGTCGGTAGCTGCATAGATCACAGTAAAATAAAATCGTTTGGATACTGACTGTACTTCAGTTTAATTTTTATGTTTTTTAAAAGATGGCTCCTGTGGCTCCTCCACAGATCATTAACCTAAGGAATAATGCGGATATATGGAAAGAGAGAGAGAGAAAGAGAGCGAGGGGTGGGGGGTGGGGGTGACAGAGGATGGTGCTCAGAATAGTGTAAGAGGTAGATGATCCGCTGTGGCGACCCCCTTTGGGGAAAGAAGCCGATAGAAGAAGAAGTACTGATTTCCGAACAATAGGGGGCGCTCGTCTAAGTAGCGCATACCGGAAGTGGCGCACGTAGCTTTGTGAGCGATGGAGACATTTTAAAAAAAAACATACAGCTAACTGCTAAACAGGGCTCGCGGAGCTGCGAGTCTTCTGCGTCAAAAAACATTCAAATTCTTCCAAGTTGTAAATAAGTCAAGTGCATTCAGCGGTGCACAGTTTACATATCACATATCAGAGAGGCTGCACGTTACTGAAGATGTCGAGTGTAACACTTGGAAAAGAAGAATATAAGTAACTCTGCGGTAAGTTGTAACTAGCCGAGTGCTATTTTAAAGGCTAAGTTGGTTATCGCTTTTGACTGATAGCTGCTGACATTATCCTGCTTGCTACAGCTCTGGCTGGATTCGTAGCGCTTCCATTTTTAGGCTAATGAGAGGCCGCTATCTTGCAACGTGAATATTTTTTCCACGTCCGCCTGTCACCAAGTTTGGGAATCTTAAGGTTATGACCGAGGGTAGCTTCACTGTGCAGCTAAAAGGGTGTGCTAGTTCCAGCTAGCCCTTGACACAACTAACTGAAGTAATTTATCCGGGAACAAATAAACATCCTGTAATTTACACGGGCACTTTAATGGGTTTAAACCTTTGTTTAAAAGGGCCGTTTTCGCTGTCTGTGAAACCTAAAACTGAATCAGATGCTTAGCACGTACTAGCAATACCGTTAAAAACATATTCTGGCCAAATATTGTCCGACATTTAATGTGTCTGTGTTTTATACTTAAAGCAGTAATTGGATTAGAAAGGAAGAAGTATTAAACTATAATATTCCACTTTTATTTATTTTAGTATAGGGTATAGCTTTGATTTAAGAACTTTACAGTTATAGTAATAATTGTTAATTATTCAGTCTCCTAAATATTTCCAAATAAATATTGTAGTAAAGATTTATATGTCATGCAAGATATTTATTTTAATTTGTGGTGTTTTTTTCATGTGATTCTTTTGTAAAAGTAATTATTTTCTTTAAAAGAATTAAGGTTTAAAAACAATTGTTATTGTCTTTCAAGTTTGTGTTGTTAAAAAAAATCTTGTATACATTTTTATTTAGATTGTTTAACTAAAGTTTGTGATGCTTCGTTTCCTCCAGCAGGTGAGGTCCTGTCCAGGGACATTGGTCCATGCTTGTTGGACCTTTGGCCGCTGGGCTCAACTAGCATGAAGATGGCTGACTCAGAAAAGGCAGAAGAATTTGTAGATGCTGAGTGCCCCTCAGAGTGCCTTGATGAAGCTCAATCAGCCACAGCTTCTGTTCAAGCAGAGCAGGATGAGCATCTGAAAACAGAAACCACTACCAGTACCAGTTCGCCCCCAAGGGAAAAGGAGGCTGACAGCCCCTTGAATACAGAGGGTGAGCAGAGTCTCCTGTCCATGCCATGCTTGATGAAGGAGCTACGCAGAGACTCACCAGAGTCTCAGCATGCCTCAACAGGAAGCGACAAACCCGTGTCTCGTCATATCTACGAGAGTGACTCCTCGAACCCCTGCATGCTCTCGCCTTCATCCAGTGGCCACCTGGCTGACTCTGATACACTCTCCTCAGGGGAAGAAGGTGCTGCTCCTCCCATAGGAGAAGAGGAAGAAGGCAGCATGGAAGCTACAGGTGATCCTGGGCAGGCAGGAGGAATGCAAGCATCTGCCACAGTTGCAGGGGGGAGGAAGTCTCGACGGTCACGTTCAGAGAGTGAGGTGCCTCCAAATACGATGGCTGCAAAGAAGAACCGCTGCCAGCCCACCATGATAGCAGCCGCAGGAGGCCAGGAAAAACAAACCAATGGCAAGTTTTCAAAAGTGAAAGGTCACCGCAGTCAGAAACACAAGGAGCGCATGCGCCTGCTGAGGCAAAAACGAGAGGCAGCAGCACGGAAGAAGTACAACCTGCTGCAGGACAGCAGTACAAGTGACAGCGAGCTCACTTGTGACTCCAGCACCAGCTCCTCCGAGGATGAGGATGATGACACCTCAGGGGGTAGCAAGACAATCAAGACAGATATTCCAGGTAATAACCGATGTTTACAACGCATGCTTAAGAGCTCAGTACTACTACCATCACTGTCCACTAGCAGCCACTTAGTATTTCATATAAATCTCTGACTCACATTGCAGACTAGTACTGGTTTACAACATAAGAAAGTATTGACTACTGATCAGTTAGACATAAGAGTCTGCCTGCATGAGTTAAAAAAAAAAAAATTGTCAACCAAATCATTAAACTGATACAACAACTGTACAAATCCTTCCTAACATCAAATCAATAACAGGGCTGCTTTGTTTGTTTTGTCATTTTTTTTCCTTAGTTATTTTCCCATCCATGTCTATATTCATTGTCTTTAGACGTATACAGTATATGTTTAGAGGACCAGCACCTAGTCATAATACAGCATTACCCCTTTCAGACATGTACCGTTTTTAGTCAGACAGTCATCATCTTAGAATGCATTGGCTGGACAATCATTCTGTTCAGTTTTATCTAGAAGTCTCAACAGAGCGTCACTCTTACAGGCTGAAGCTGCTGTAGGTTCAACCCGCATTTGCATATCACTGTCAGTATGACACAAGTCTAAAATATATGCAGTTGCATTAATGAAATTGCAACTTTGCACATCTCTCTTAGCATTTGTCTTGGTAAGACATCCATCATGAAGAATTTTCACTTTTTCCAACCCAGAAAAAAAGCTCACTCGCTCTCTCACAGTCTATATGCTGTATTTGGGAGCTGCTACAGCAAACACTCACACATACAGAACCTGGTCCTTGTGATGATGAAGGAGGAAACCAAGTCTTCAAAAAAGGAGATTACACTTCTTCAGAGTTGAAAGTATCCTTGTCACTTTGTTTGGCACTTTATAAACCAACAATGTATATAAAATTATATTTAAAGCTTAAAGTAAATTAAAGATCATTAAAAAAATGGTCTCAATATAGATTCATCACCTGATTATTCTTCTTTGGTTCTTTGGTGGTAGGTCAAAACCTCTTTGGAAGCCTTTTTTGTTGTTGTTGTTGTTGTTGATTGGCTGGAGAAATCCTGCAAATAAGACGCACATACCATGGCTCTCCCCATCACTGTTATATCAATGAAGCTTTAAAGAACTAAGCAACATTAATAATATGATTAACAATATAAAGTCCCTTTTCGATTAGTACCTACTTGGATCGACTCGGCACGTTTCGCCACAGTTTTCAGAGTTTTCTGTTAGGTCATAGTACCTGCCTGGTACCCGGTACTTTTTCGTACTTGCTCAGCCGGGGTTCCAGTGATCCGAGCAGGTACTAAAATGTGATGCCGTCGGACTGCATGCAACTGATCAGCTGGTCAGTAGCATCACAATGGCTACCAAAAACCGTGGTCCCTGAGTCTGGTGAAAAGCCACAGGCCAAGTAGCAGGTATATTTTTTGCCTCGGCGTCCACCTTTGTTGTAGCGTTCATGTCACATATTAATCACGTCGTTCACACACACATTAGGAGTTACTAAATTGTAATGGAAAACCAGTCGATCCGAGTCGATCCGAGTCGAGTCCTGGCGAGTCGATCTGAGTAGGTATTGATGGAAAAGGGTCTTATGAGTGACAACCAAGACTGGAACAGAATGGTAAAGCAAGCAATCTGACATATCCCATGTCTGAAAGAGACTTAAACATTGTCATGAAACTCTTTCTTACTGATGATTTGCTATGGGAGTCTAATCAACATTGTCCAGCTCAGAGTGGTAAAAAAGAGTTGAGTTAATGTAACCATTACTGTGAGTTCTGCAGTTCAACAAGTCAGCCATTAATATACACAGCCTTTGCTCTAAATAGACATACTATGATCTCACTGAGTTGCAAGACTCTGCTGCCACTGCTGGTGTCAGTAAGCTGTAGAAATACTGGCTTATACATGAGTAAGGACATAAAATCCAATATCTAATGTTCTGTTTCACTAGATTGCCTAACCTCATAAGTAATTAGTCTGTTTTGTTAGAGGGAGTTTACCAAGTATTTCATTCACATGAAAACTGCTGGGCATTTAGTATTGCATTTCCTGCATTTCTGTCCTTACTAAATATTCCTTAATGTTTCAGTATTCTTTTTGTCCTGACCCATCACACACTTCACTCCTCCTACAGTGAATCATGTTACAAATGTAGTTGGGTGCTTTCCTATACTTTAAATGATTTTGCAACACCTTAGATGAGCCCGTGAGTTCTTGTCATCCAGTTGAAAGTGTAAATGCATACAAATATATACAAATCTAATTGAGAATGGCTTTTTGCGAAACTGTGGGCCAGAGGTGTCTACCTGGAATGAACACTCATTGGCAAACGCTGATTGTAACGCCTGCATGCACGTTAGACCCCGTGAGTTTGCTTACGTGTTGTAGAAATCTCTTGGGTGAGTTGAATTCTCCAGAAGTAGCTCCTATCAGGCTGGTGTTTAAAGGTCTGCCAACGGAAGAGAAGCACTCGGTTTACTGTTGGATGATCTTTTGATCATGATTGTGTTCTTTAGTATATAGCTTGATGCATTTTATTATCATTTTTACATTCAAATCAAATTTTAGTTTCTTGTGTTTCATATATGATCCGTAATAAATTGTTTTTGTTTATATGTAGGAGCATTAGTAAAGGTACTTTGGCTTATATAAAGTCTATCTCTTAGTTATGTCTGTTGCTTTTGCGTCTCAGATTTGAAGTTATTTTGCTTTGGGTGGTTGCATTTACTTTAAAATCTTACACCTTTTCCAAATCACTCGATCAGTCACCCCCAGACCACCAATTATCTTCCTCCAGGGACATGAAATGTTTTCAGCCATTTTTACATCCCGCACACAGATTTAGGTGCTACAACTGCATGATGTAGTCCATCAGCATGAAAAGAGTCGATCTGCACGTTACCTGAAACAAACTGTCATTTTCTCTGTAATGCAAAAGTCCACCTCCGAAGCATGAAAGTGCTACTGTATTTTCTTATGGCTTGGCCTCAATGTCTTTAAAGCTGGCTTCAGACGTGCTTCGGAGAGATCCAGAGTGGGATCCCAGATTCATGGGTTACTGGACAGCGGCTCGTGGGACAGGAACGGCATCGGCAGCGTTCTGGAGGAGGCCATGACGCGCTTTGCTGTGATGCAGCGTCAGACTGAGGAGCGCTTCCGCGTCTGGATGGAAAAGCTTGCACACCTCGACTCGGACAACGATTCTTCCAAGCGCTCAAGTGACGGCCCAGAAGGGCAGCAGCAGCCCTCACAGGGGGCACGGCCTTCCCCCCCAAGCTCATTTTTGCCATCTTCAGAGTCTGCAGAGACTATGGCTGCCTACATGTTGGCACGAGAGAACAACAGTCTCACCCACACCCCTATAAACAACAACAACAACATCCACCCTGAAGTTGTCACTCAGAATGGAAATCTAGGTGTTCCAGACCCTGGTCTCTTGAATGTTTAGATTTCACTTCTGCTTCACCCCTCGCAGTTTCTTACTTTGATCTCGGCAAGTGTAGAGATAGTTAAGGCAGAAAGCAATGGGGTATACCCGTTCAAGGATGTGAGGGCACTAAACAGAAACACCACCAGCAGCAGCAGCTGGGCCTGAACTGGTCATTTGAACTTGACTCTGTGCAGACCAGGGGCCCGTGCTATGAAGCAGGTTTAACATGTCTTCTTTATATGGCTTTATTAAGCCTAGCAAAAACAGTCACATGGAGTCTGGTTATCGGTTGGGGGTTTTTTTTGTTTGTTTGTTTTAATTAAACCCAGCTATGAGCATTTTCGCATAACATGCGTGATGGTGGCACCAGATGACCAACTGCAAAGACTATGGGACTATAGCCACTTAAAGTCGGAACAAACAGTAATCCTGATATGAAGAAAATTAAAAATGTAATCCAGGCAAAAAGCCAGGAGGAAAAATTGGCATAAAATTGCATGTTGTGTGAATGTGCAATTTACTAAAAGGCCCATTAGTGATGATGCTCCATCACTGACAAACAAGAAAATATAACTAGAATTACAATTATGCATTTCTTCAAATTCATGTGTTACCTGTGGTTGTTTATTTAGATAATTTTAGCTCTGTTGTTTCAGCTACAACCCAGGTAATGTTAAATCGAATGACATCAGGTAAAATATTTTTTTTAAATTCTTGCTAATTTTATAAGGTCAAAAGCACTGGAATTTAATCAGTTAAAGAGTCTTGATTTAGCATTATATTGCTATAAAAAGACATATGGAAAGAAGAAATGGGCTCAAATGCTCACAGGCATAAGTGAAATAAAACCCGCTCAGTGCATGTGCTGTACAGCCCAAAGGAGTTTCACAAAAGACAACCAATTGGTCAGTAGTTGGTGCTTTATATACGTTCATCTGTTATGTTGAACATGACTACTCAGGAGGTCGTGTATTTTGGTGTGGTCTAATGTGGCAGTGTACCTGCAGAAAGAACTGAATTTGGAAGCGGGGGAACCCTGAAAACCTGAAACGAGCTTGGAATCCTGCTTTGTAGCACGGGCCCCTGAGGCTCAGCATGTGTGCTGGCACTGAATCACTGTGAGATTTGACACTGAGAAAAATTCAACTCACCTATTTGATTTCTGCAGCATCTGTGACACGGAAACATGGCTTCTCAATAGACTGAGTCAGGGCTCTTATTGTATTGCTTTGCTTTCTTTCTTTCGTTTTTTCAGCACCAGCTGAATACCCTCTTTGACACATACAGAGTAACTTTTTTATTTCTTTCATTCAGCATATGAACTATAATGATGGGTAGCCATCATTACAGTGTTAAGTGGGGTGCTGCTGTGTAATAGCATGTGCCTTGTCATTCCGAACTCATGCTGGGAATGATGGGTAAAGCATTATAGTGCTGTTTCCTTAAGAATCAGGTTTACCACTGCATACCCCCCGTTTGTCTTGAACTGTTTGCACTTTGCTTGTAAACAGTTCAGGAAAATCTTGTGACAACCTTTATTTTGGTGGCATAGCTTTACTAACAGAACATTTAAACATAGATATGCCTATAAATATAAACACAATATACTAACCCACACAATTTCTTGCTTTTTTAAAAATCTATATTAAGGATTAGACGTGTTTACATTTTTAAATAAAGGCCTTTCTGTTACATTTGCTGCTGGCGCTGCATTTGCGCAGTAACATGAAACGAGTGATTGAGGAATCTGGAAAAGAAAACTCCTTGTGGTTATTTTAGTAGCTTAGGTGTAGATTTTGAACATCATATAAGGCATGGGTTCCTTTGTTGTGGCTATTGGCTGCATTGGCCTCAAATCTTCAGTCATATTATAGTAATGGGTATTTGTCTACTTCAATTTTTGTTTGCACTGGTCTGCCAGTTTATCCAGTGTCCCCACCAGGCACTGCGTATTCGCATCTTGACTTTAAACTGAAAACCCAGGCATCAAACGTGCAGATATAGAGCAGTAATACAGCTGCAGTATGGTGCATGGCAATGTTTACGGATTTTTTTCTAATTAAAAAAAGAAAAGAAAAAGTGAGATCTATGTGATCAAGTGGCCTTCTGGTTCACATCCTGTGGTCTTTGAAAGGGGGGAGGAAACAATCCTCCTTGAACCCCCCCTCCCTCCCTCCCCCCACACTGTTTTCACTGATGTAGATGACCATTTGGGTCTTATTTCTAAACACTGCTAACAACCATCACAGAGACTGATGAAGGAATCTTTGGCCTGATCATATTTAAAGTTAAGATGTTAAAAAGTGTTCTCTATATGTGTATATGTAGCCCTATGACTGTCATTTTTACAGAGCCTAAAGCTAAGCGACGTGTTTCCCCCACCTGTTTGCATGCGAGTATATTAGTATATAGAATGTGCAAGGCCAAATTAGTTTACATCAGCAGCACGTGTGCAAGCTATAGCTTTTCCTTATGCTGATAAATGGTGACTGACGGGACATTTTATCTATATTTTATTTTCCTTTTGATTGTTTTCCCTTGACCTAATGGTTTCATATTGTGTGAAGATTGCTTGTTTTGTAATGCGTTCCTTTGCCATTACGGATTTAAATAGATCCAGCGTCAGCTCTCCTGTACTCCTTAAAACTAGACTTTTAAATCAACAGTTTTGTCAGCACAGTAACGAGAGCCTGTGCATGAAATCAAAATGTGCATTAAAAACAACAGCAAGGACAGTCCATTGTTTACCAAAGACACTAACCTGGTCTACATTAGTGCTTTTCTATCTCTAATACATGGCCTTTATATTGGCAAGTGCTTGGTTTCTTTGGTAACCCTAGTATCTACCTATATCAGCTATTCATAGGCAGTGTTCTCTCACAGTACATGCTGTCCAGACAAAACCCCTCTCACACACCCACAGATGTCTGGATAGCAGAGTGTGTGTCTGTCTGTGTCTCTCTCTCTCTTTCCCAGGGACTCCTTTTTACAGGGTTGAACAATTATGTGCTCCTGCTCTTCTAGTTACACTCCTGTTGTTTGGCTTTGTTTTGTTTAGTTTTTTTGACTATCCTCACTACATTTCATTCACTGAGTAAGATTATTTTGAAATGTGTTTTGTAACGACTGTACTCGAGTGTAGTTTTTATGTGAATGGCTGTTATTTTAAAAAGCAATAAATGAAAAGAACAAAAGGTTTGTTGATGTGCTTCAAATACAACCATCATTTATAAGAGTATAATGCATTGTTTTATTTTAGAGTTAATGTAGACCTTTACTTCAGGAGAAATGGGGGACCAATGGGGGTTTTCTTGTGTCTATTGTAGATGCTAAGACTTAGCGGGTCTGTGGAAGCAGTGTCCAGTCTCTCATTCAAACAGAAGTCGCACTATTCCCAGGCATGATTTGAATAATGAAGTGTTTTCTTTGTTCTCTGCAGACGGGCCTCCAGTAGTGGGTCACTATGATATTTCAGACACTGATTCTAACCACGAGAGTATGAATGTGGAGGCAGTCCGGCCCACGGTGATAAAGCATGAGCTAAAAACACACAGAGGCCAGGATATGGCAGCTCACTCTGGGTGTATAAGAGCTCTGAGCTCTACCTCAGGTCAGTTACAAACCCGGTATAATAAATTCCAATCCTCTCAGTGAAGGCAGGACATTTTAAAGGCATGGGTTGTCATCAGTAAGCTGAAATGTGCCGTGTGGCAGGAAGCGGTCTTATTAATCTCAGCAAGACACTTTTGAAGCACTCTTTATCCCACACACCACCAGCTGGCATTTGATGTTACTAAAAGTCTTGACCTTTTTGCAGCCGACACAACATGAATATAAAGGCAGCCATCTAATGTGTCACTTCATGCTGTCCAGTCAGTTTTACAAACACCACTGTCAGCTTCATCTCTGTTTTGTGTTGGGGTTTGTGTTTTTTGTGTGTCTGTGTCAAAGCAGCTGCTGTCTTCACGTGTCAGCGAGGTCTGAAGCGCTCTACTGCTTCGGCCCTCCTCACAAAGCATGACTGTGTTCCTCTACATTTGTTTCAGGCCACATGGAGGCAGAGCTGTCGCACAAGGAGAGCTCTCAGCACAAGGGCCAGATTAACATTGTTTCCTCTGACAGTGAGGTGGAAATAGTCGGAGTGCAAGAAAAAGCACGGTAAAGACTTTCAGTGGGGAAACTAACTGTAAAATTCT